AAAGTAGTGAAAGTAGCAAAGTAGTGGCAAAGTACGGCAAAGTAGTGGCAAAGTACTGCAAAGTAGTGGCAAATTACGGAAAAGTAGTGCAAAGATCGGCAAAGTAGTGGCAAAATACTGCAAAGTACGGAAAATTAGTGGCAATGTACGGCAAAGTAATGGCAACGTATGGCAAAGTAGTGGCAAAGTAATGTAAAGGCGTGGCAAAGTACGGCAAAGTAGTAGAAAAGTATGGCAATGTACAGCAAGGTAGTGGCAAAGTACGGCAAAGTAGTGGCAAAGTACTGCAAAGTACGGCAAAGAAGTGGCAAAGTACTACAAAGTAGTGGCAAAGTACGGCAAAGTAGTGGCAAAATACTGCAAAGTAGTGGCAAAGTACGGCAAAGTACGGCAAAGTACGGTGAAGTAGTGTTAAAGTACTGCAAAGTAGTGGCAAATTACGGCAAAGTACGGCAAAGTAGTGGCAAATTACGGCAAAGTACTGCAAAGTAGTGGCAAATTACGGCAAAGTACGGCAAAGTAGTGGCAAATTACGGTGAAGTAGTGCACCAGCGGTAATCAGTGCAAGTCGCGCCCAGGTCAAACTTCATACTTGTGATTTCCATTTGTAGAGTGCATTGGATTGTGGGAAAATCAATGTTTATCAACACAAATGTCAAACATGCACAGTGCGATGCCTACCGCGCTTTAACATGTCCCCTGCTGATATAACCCCCCCCCCCCCATTTGTTTTGGTTATCTGTCAAGACTTTAAACAGGTCATGTGTTTAGGCACTACTTGTGCTACACAGCATTACACAAACATCCATGCCACTTTTATCAAGGTTAAAGACCCTGTCTGACATCCCTGGGATTCCCATTGTTATACAGTGTACATAATCACCTCCAGTGAAATGGCCAATTTTTCAAAAAAGAAATAAAACAGATATTCCAACGTGTCAGGCTATCATCCAGCAGATGCACAGTTTCAAATAAGGAAACCCATTCAAATCTGGCTGGTACATTATACCGCAGTCACTCCACACGGTTGGTAAAGGCTATTGTTCTCACAGTTGTGAATCGCCCGATTCCTACATACAGTGTGTGTTTTGCTAGTGGGGACGTCATAGCATTTTCTGTTACCGGTATAAATATTGTGTTTTTAAGCAAATTCGGCAATTTTTTTTTTTAAATTACAAGTTATTGTGTGGTCATAATTGTTTTGTGAAAAGGTATGTGTAGTTTAAAATCCAAACAGATTTTGATTTCAAACTGTAGCTGCAATGTTCATTCATAATTACAGTATCCATTATGGCAACAATACCATGAAACATTCAACCCTGGTAAATCGCATTGCCACCTCTAAAATGATCATTAAATGAGTCGTTATTAGTTTGTGATTTGATACGTTAATTGTTGGGCAATATTTATTACTGGTACATTGTGCATAAGTGTCAGCCATTCATTTTGTTGTATTCTGTATGAAACAAGGTGGCTGTTTGGTGGCGCTAACTCGAAATGGTGGGGAGGGAGTGTGATTTTACTTAGAAATTTCGAAGTGTGTCAGACAGGATTTTGTAGTTACCAAGTGACAGCCACCAACTGCAATGATTTGAATTTAAAGAGTGATGTCAGAAGGCAATACAACAAGCATGTACATCGGTTAAGCCACAAAAAAAATTGCTTTGTTGCCCTCAGCGGCCGACGAAAAAATATGAAATATCGGGTCGCTTTTTTTTTTTTACATATACCTCAGCTATTTACAATACCCTTAGTTTTCACGAGTTTAAAAAAAAATCAGGGACAACACAAGTTTTTTTTTTGGCCTTAGGCTTGCATACACACTGCAGTCTCCTCAGGAGACAAAGGACTTTTAGATCATGACTACTACTACTACTCAATGTATAATTTTTCATATACTTTATTAATTATCAACCCAATCAAGTGAAGCTTAGAGTAATAATATCACACAAAACAAACTTGGTGTTCGTAAGACAAGTACCAGTCAACATTATTAGAGTTGTAAACAAATCTTTGTGGTTGACATCGCAAATACAGCGGTTAAAACATTAATTGTGCTCTACAGGTCTTCTGGTTAGTTTCAAATTCACAATTATTTCGTATTTTTATCACTATGAACTTGCAGAATGCCCAAATCTACTGTTGATCCACACCCAAAGCAATTGCTACATTTTCTACTGAATATGAACTGTGTATTTGGAACACTGGTATAGTTAAACAGCAATATAGAGAACACTTGTGTTGATTGAACACCTATATGTATAGTAAAACACATGTGTTCTCTGTTGAGGAAGTGTTCTGCAAAGAACAAAAATGATGTAAACTGGAGATAACTCACTATAACCAACTGTATATATTTACAAAACACAATTTTTTAAAAAAGACAACTCCAGAATTTGTTTACACAAGATCTCTCTCTAAAAAATAAATCAAGCATGATAGATTTGCTTATCAATAAATACAATAAACAGATCTTGAATTAGAATACTCCCATCATGAAACTGGCACCCATCAAATTCACATTTCCAGGCTTCCATAATGTTTACTTCTTCCTGTCTTTATCGCTATCACTATCACCAAGGATCTCATCTTCCTCATCTTCTATTTGATGCATCTTTTTCTTATGTCGTGAGATCGCATCTTTATGACGTCTGATAGCTGCCTCATGGAAGTCAATTTCTTCGTCGTGTTGCTTTCGCAGAGACTTTAACTGTTGGGCTTGCTGTAATCAACATATGCATTTATTATCCCTCAAGTTATTGGTCTAAAATGGTCACATGATAAATATTGATATTGGCCTCTCCCAGCGTATTTCTTCCTACTTTGTGTGTTACTGCTGTCTGTGGTGATAACATCTGGGACACTTATATTGTTGCAGATGATAACAAGATGGATAACACTTTCGATTGCATTTCTCCACAGGTTAATTTTGATTATTTATCTAAGAAATCACACATGTTGTGTTGTGTTGCTCAATTATTTTATAACATCTAAAAAATGACTTTAGCTGATGGAACAAAATTAATGTAAGAGTTTTCATTTTTTCATGTCTTGTCCTTGAACCTATTTTGAACCAATCCAGTCAAATTATAAATTACAAGACAAAGGGCCGTATTTTTTTCCATTTTCGGTTATTTCTTTCCATGATTGAATAGAAAAAAACGAACTACAAATACTCCAAGATTTTTTTGACTTCATTAAAAAATAAAATCGTTTTTGTAGGATGGAAACTTTTTGAGGTCAACCCCCACCACCCCCCCCACCCACCCCACCACCCCCACCCACCCCAAAACTAAAGCAAATAAGTTTTTTATCCGACATCGATCTTTTGACGTCGTCCCTAACAATGTCAAAAAAGGTCAATAATGTAAACTTACCAATTTTCTGAAATATTCCTCTTCTTTGGCTGCCTCTCTTTTACCAAAACTTCCACCAGATTCACGAATAGAGCCTCCACCACCACCGCCCTAACAAAGAGACAGTATAGACATTTAAATGTAGTACTGTAAATACTTTATTTTTGCTGAAAAGACATTTTGGATGTTTTGTATAAAATTTATTTTCACTGATTTTTGGTGAGTCAAATGTAAAATATAGGAAAAAAGTTATATTTGCTTGATAGAGAAAATTAATTCTAAGCGAAAACAAAGTATTTTACAGTAGTTAGCTAGTAATTAAAGTGCAAAAGTTCCACGCCCTGTTCAATATGGAACCCATATGACCTAAACAACCTATGTGATGTTGACACCAGCATGTGCTGAGTGACTATCTTTATAGACTGGTCTTGAAACGGTGATCAATGCAGATAAATAATTCACACATTTTCGACAATAGTTGTGTATACCAACGCTGCACAGAACTCACAAATGCACACTGAAAGCGGCCATAGGCAGTTTGATGATAGAGATTTTAAAAACAAAAAATCAGAATTCATCTTGAACTACCGTAAAATCTGTATTAGAAGCTGCATCCCTAATAGAAGTCGCACCCATTCTTTTTGAAAAATTGAGAATCAAAAAAATCATCATTTCTCATATGTGTAGATGCTCTAATAGAAGCCGCATCCCCTCTATTGCATTGTACCATTTTAATAGAAGCTGCGGTTTCTAATACAGATTTTACAGTAGTTCATGATATATTCAACCGACTTCAAGCTAACCAGACATCGTTTTGTGGATTTTATTATTGATATAAGTAGATCAGAAAAAAGAGCAACATTATTTAACAACCATCATATAATTGTAATGCCTGTGTAATGCCATTTTATGCATAATTGAAAAATATTACATCTGAAACTCGTGTATAGAGAGACAGTGATCAAGAGCATTACTTACAGAAAACCCCTTCTTTCAACTTTTGACCAACATTGTTAAGCATTGTTATTTGTGCAAGCAATTAAGAATGTGGACACATTTGCATCATTAATGCTACTAATTCAGCAAGCCAAATATTATGGACTAATAAGCCATGCAGTCACATTTGTTGGGTTCACATTAAAGATCTTGGCACATGCTGATCAGTTGGACTGGGTTGGCAAGTTCAAAAACAAATCGATCTCGGTTCTAATAAGGATGTTCTTCCACTAATGACCAAAGAATATATGGGCTGGATTTTACCAACTTACCTTGCCTACACCTGATCCCAATTCACCCGTAGACATAACACGTGTTTGACTGCAAACAAACAAATATGCATAAGAGTAAATAACATTACCATGGGAATATGAAACCATCAGCCATTGGATTAATTTGATAGTCAGAAAAGAGTTCAACCAATAAGAGAGCTCCATCAACCAATATTCAACAGTTAGAAAAGACTGATGTTTCAGCCAATCAGAGAGCTCCATGGACCAATATTCAACAGTTAGAAACGACTGATTTTTCAGCCAATCAGAGAGCTCCATGGACCAATATTCAACAGTCAGAAAAGATTAACATTTCAACCAATCAGAGAGCTCCATGAACCGATATTCAACATTTTTATTTAAAATATTGAAAGTTTTTTTTTTTTTTTTTTTTTTGGTTTAACTATCTTTTATTCCATACAATAAAATTCTTTACAGCACAATGTCAACATACAACAAATGTCACAGCTAGTATAACCCATACAAAATAACACTGAATACCCATTAACAATTGAAGTCTCCCCACTTGTCCAGGAAAATGGACATTGTATGTCTTCTATTTGAAATTTCTAACTCTATCTTCTGCGTGTAACGTATG